TTCACTATTTAATTACAAATAATTATGTTTTACATTAGTCATTTGTCATCCTTTCTTGCCGTAAAGCTTGAACTCTGCTGTGGCTTGCGACTGCTGCAGTCATAAAAAATTGTATTTTTTTTAACAAGGTGTTTTTCCTTGCAAATGAATTAATGTACCTCCGAGCACTAAAAGCATTCATTTAGCCCCCAAATAATGAGGAATAATTCGCCACAGGAAAGCGCATCCATCTGGCATATAAGACACCGCAAATGAATGCCACGGGACTCCGTAAATGCCGTTTAATATGTTTCAGGGGTTTGCAGGTAGATTTTATCTGCATAAAATTCAAGCGCACTCAAGATGCACTGAGACTTCTAAAAACACAAGGCAGCTCATTATGACCAAATTGAGGATGGCTGGAAATATAAAATGTAAGTTTTTCCAATTTCTTCAGAGGTAATTAATGTTTGGGTGAGATTTGTATTATTTAAGTGGTGCAAAACTAATATTTCTGTTTAATTACATGTAACTGGCATTTGAGAGAGACGTCTATCTGTCTGTCTACACACAGGATGCTTCCTATTGTTATGAACTCTCACAAGATTCTGCATTTCTCATAAAGACTTTTAATCTGTTGTCAACATACCTACGTGATCTCCCTGATGTTTGCATAAAGATATGCAAGATTTTAATGCCAAGTGTGTGCTTGTAAAACACAGCGGGGATAATTACTTCGCTGTGTTGCAATATATCCAAGTCTCAGATTGCCTTTTCTGCCACACAGTTCTACAAAATGCCAAAATGTAATGATTAATTAATAGTAAGGGTACATTAACATGCAGCTGATAATTATCATACCAGCATGTTTATCTGGTTTTCACACTTTCAACTTTGACCTTTGGATGTTTATCACCCGAAAAGCATACCGAGTCATCTATTATTTAGCACTACTTTTCAGCCGAAGGCAGTTACACATCAAACTGCCACTCAGTACCTGAGATAGAAGAAATGTGGATCTTTCTAAGAGCTCTGAGAGATCACTGAATTGGACAAGTAAGAGTGTTCTTCTTTCTTCTCGCAGTGACAGAAACTACTGCCATCAGCGCCGCTCTGAAAACAGGGACTGCCGAGCATTTTGGACAGGTTATGTAGCAGCAGGCTGGAGGAAATGCATCTGGGAGAGCAGGTAAAGGGTCTCAGGTGTCAAACATTTCACTGCACACTGTTGTTCTAGCAGCAAAAATGCATGGGAAACAATTCGTTCTCTGTAGAAAAATCAAAGCAGGAATGGCCAGACAAGGCAAAAAACGCAATCGGGGTGTAGAGACGGAGACAGGAGCAGACAGGAAAAAGCCAAACTGAAAATGACTGCAAGGGCAGCAAAAGGACAAGGAGTGGATGAAAGTTATCATGTACTACATCAGGAGCCTCTCACTGTGCACTCACATAAGTGGTGATGTGAAGGAGGAAGCATTTTAGAACTCCGGTCATTTTAAACATATCATGCATTTGGACCGGAAATCAATAGCAGCAAGCAGAAATTATAAGATGCTTAGCCGATGCCGTTTGACACATTTTTAGCACATTACTATCTGAGAACCAGATGCTTTTTTGAATAACTACTGAACTAACAGCAAAAAAGATATCGTTGCCATCTCTGGCACAGGTTTTTGTAACAGAAGCGGCATGCATTACACTTGCACTCATGCCAACCACAGCTTCCTCTCAGGTGGAGTCTCTCTGAGGTTCCAAAATTGTTTGTTTTGTGCTCACAAATCGGGCGGAACAAAGAAAGGACTGTTTCACTCGCCATCCTGAACTCAATCGGCACATCACAAGAACAGCCTCATGAGACCATGGGATCAATACTTACAAATAAATAAGGCCAGTCATGTAATTCCATGACGAGCCCCAGCTCCCTCTGCTCTCTCACAGCCAGAAGTCCTGGGTTTCTGCCAGCATGATAAACGATTACGCTCCTGAAGAAGGCAATTCCACAGTATATCCGTGTATATATCTTCCGCAAAAGTGAGACTAACTTTCCAAAACTCTGGCAATTTAGCAGAGAAGCGATTCATTCATTTTCCTAATAGCTCACCTAATTTCTCAGAGAAAAAGGAACTAATGAATAAAATTGGGCAGGTAGCCTTTTTTTTTTTTTTTTTTTATAAATCTCGGTTACAGCTCCAGCTTAACTTAAGCAAATCGATTTAACAGAAAGCAACACCTGGAGCCAAACTTCGCAGTTCTGAGATTACTCTCTCTCTCTCTCTCTCTCTCTCTCTCTCTCTCTCTCTCTCTCTCTTGCATACACACACGCTGCTACACGGACACACACACACACACACACTTTGATAGCGTCTCCTCTGTATGTAAATCGTTTGAAATTGTGAATTTCCAGACTTGTGTTGTTCAAGGGGTCAGAGCTGAAGTCTTGCCGTTGAATGGACCTGCGTATGAATGCGTGACCCCAGGCTAAACTCCACATCATAAAACCACTACATGTGCATAGAATGAATAAATGATCTGTCACACAGGCGGGTATACATCTAGATGTTATAGATAATATACAAAATGGAACCTTCCGATTGTGCTCCAGTCAAATACTGAGTCAAATTTGACCCAAACACAATAGGAGGGATATTCCGGATGGTCAAAAATGTGTTGAGTTTACATATAGACACTGGATTTTAACTTATCATAGATAATTCACTTTCACTTTATTGTATATAATGCTTTGTGTATATAGTACTTTGTTTAAATTATTTTTATTTCTAGTATTCTTATTTTTATTCTTATTTGCACTGCTGCTATTGTCGTGTTCTTCCACACAAGTTTCGTTGTACTTCTGCACAATGACAATAAAGTCTCTTTATCTTTATCTTTATCTTATAATACCAGTGTTGACTGAGTCACAAGTGAATATCTGGCTTTTTTAAACTTTAAAACATCTCATTTATATATATATTTGCTGCATCTTTACCAAAACCTTCTATATTGTTATCCAAATTATCGTAAAAATTAGAATTAGCCTTAAAAAACATCATTTTTTAAATAGTTTTAATAATATATGGAAACATAACGGTAACAATTTAGAAGTATCCACAGTAAAAGGCCTATGTTAAAAATATTTGGAGTCGACAGGTTATAGCCCCTTTGGCTGGTGTATATTCTTCTTTTTTTTTGTCCTTGCAGCAAGCTCTTTAAAACCTTGCCTCACTCAAAAATGTGTTTTATTTATTGTTTCTTCACCCTTTAAAACTGTGTGACCTTTACTTTGTAGACTGATGTACAGTGTGTAGAGTTTGACACTAGAAAGGCTGTTTTCACTGTCATCTCCAGAAGGGGAGGAAAGTTTCTCTGTGCTCCTGTCAAATTGAAATGTATTGTAACCTACAAGCGGGATTTTTGTGACGGCTAGTTTCGGGAAGCGAGTTGGGATCCAATATGGGACTTGCACAAGTGAGATGAAGAAACTCGCAACATCAGAGCGCATAGAAGAGTGGATATTTCAGTGAAGCAGGAGACATCTGGTGTCCGGCAGTTAAAATGTGAAATGAACAATATTTATAGACTTGTAGAATCTGGATTCTAAATAATTGAGAAGGAGTAAATGTAATTTAAGGGATATATAACCATTTTGAAAAACCATTTCCGTTATTCAACAGTTCTTTATAGATTCATAAGGACTTGATAGTGACTTGTAAAGCGCTGATATATGGTATAATTGACCGTTTTATAGGCACACTGATGGTTTTGTAAGTAACACGTGATAAGGCACCTACATTATCACACGCATTACTGTATGTAACATGGGAAAAGCTGCAATGAATTCTCAAACACAAAATCAAGTCTATTAATGTAAAAATATTTTGTGCATTTTGAAATACAACTATGTGTAACATACAGTATATTCCCAGATGTACAAAGTGTTGCTTTTCCAATCTACTATACGTGGACCTACTGTAGCCCACTGCCTACCTTTTCCAAGTTGAGAGCAGGTAGCACTGACACCAATTCTCAATTTATTCAGTCAATTAGACCCACATATTACTGTTCGACTCTGGTCTCTCTGAAAGGCTGAAAGTAAGATGCTCGGATAATGAACACAGCCTTCAGTGCTCAGCAGCCTCCTCCTGTCTAATCAAATCTAGGTGGAGCTCTCTGACTCCTCTTACCTCCACCAGGCAGATGACAGCGGGAGTGAAGATGATCGGGGTACATATTTTGAATGAAAACGCCCCTGACAGGAGTGTGTGGTAGTCAGAAGAGTATACAGGGAGGAATCCATACTCTATTACTTTTAAAGATTTTCCTAAGCAGCTCCAAACAAACCCTCTCATGGCGAAATATGGTGAAAGTTCACAGGATGATTTTTGGCCCAAATTGTAGAATTTAAACTGAGTAAACTTTCCCTTTATCAACAGCATCTTTGAAGACATTATGACATACAATTACCAGCATGACAGCGAAGATGATGAATTGATAGAGGTGAGAGTTGTTATTATTAACTAGGAGGGAACATTGAACTTGGATCATCTAATTCTCCATTCTGTTTTAACTACCTTTGCTTTCTGCATAGTGGTAAAACCTCACAACACTGACTGTCTACACTGCTGTGTGGACTGGGAAAGAGCTGACAGATGGCAAATTTATCTCTTAAGCTAAATGACAGAAGTTGTCAAAGTCTATTTTGTCATTAGATGGAGGTAATCTTTTCCTCTGTGCTGACAGAACCTCATTTGACAGCCTTAATAGGAAGAATAATCCCATAATCACTTTCACAGGATGTAAAGGCACAAAATACCACCAGAAAATTTAAAATTCTACTGTAGGATACTTACCACAGACTTGCATGAGGTTCTATTTATGCAAGTACACACCTAAGATGCTCTCTATCTGTCACTGAAAATGGGACTCACACACATATTGCTATACTCTTGGTTCCGACACTGTCCAGCCAACTCACACGCAAGGAAACGCCAACAACAGCGTGCGTAAACAGCTGTTGCGCTTACCGATTCTGAGGACTTGTGCCGAGCTCAGGCAGAGCTGCGCCGCGAAGAGAAAACAGCAGAAAAGTCTCTTTCTTTCCTCCATAGTGCTCCAGGCGAACTCACCGCGAATGTTGAGACCATGACAGAATGAAAAGAAGCCTCTATCTATCCAAGCGCGGACACAGGCGACGTGCCACGCCAGCGCGCAACCCAAGTTTTATTCCCAGTGCGATCCATCCACTCAGCATCACTGCGTAGCGCAAAAAGAGAGGGAAAAAAAATGCTGACCACGAGGAAACACGGATCCAAACTTTGCTGTGCAAAATCAATCAAAGTTGTATCTTGTAAACAAAAAACTGGCTGCGGGAAAAAGAGTGAGCCAGAGTGACCACCAGTCTGTGCGCCTCCGAGGCGGCAGAAACTGGAGGGAGTGAGAGCGCAGAAGTTGGTGTCAAGTAAGAAGAGATCGAATCAACGTCCGGGACGCCTTTTCAAAATAAAACCATTTTTTACTGGTAGCGTTCAACAAATTTTTGAGGTATTGTAAAGAGAGATGCTACTTCCCATGTGAATTTGTTTTGTCTCCATGAGTCTGCTGCCAGAAGATGGTTTGTCTCTGTGTTAGATGCTCATAAGACATACAGGTAGGTTTAGTCTAATAGTAATAATAATACATTTATTTTGTCTTTACAGGGTACAGGATAAAAACAGAAACAAACAAGCTGAATAAAAATCTGATTTTAAAAAAATCAAGGTATAGAAAGCAGGTATAAAATGTAAAACAGTCAAACATTAAAAACGATCTTGAATAGGTGAGTTTTTAAAAGGGACTCGAATGAGTGGAAGTCAGAGCAATGTCGGATGGGAAAAGTCTAACCCTACCTGTATGCCACATGAGCATATTCAATACTTACACTTTACCTAGAAAAGAAATCTGTACTGCCTATTTAGGGATACATTAAATCAAATGGATTTTAAAGAATTATTTCTCCAAATAATGGGAACCTGTTGTCTCAAACTTGACAAACACATCAGCTTTTACGCTGAAAGTGCGCGTGGTCTCATTCTGGTTATCTGTGGTTAGTTTGGCTACAGTCGGTTTGGATTAAGGAGCAGATGGATTGGCAATGGTTCTCTCCTCCGGTCGTGATGAAAGGAGAATAATCTTCAGGTTACAGGGCAGAAGCCAGATTATCTCTCACTACAGAAAAGTGAGATTTATCTGACTGGATCGCTGGATGCCTTCCAATCCAGTCCCAGGACTTTAGAAAGGAAAGAAAAAAAAAGATGAGATGTGTGAACAATGGGAATGCACTTTATATAAAATGATCTTATGTGCCTTAACCCCCCTTATATAAATCTGACTGAATCATTGATTTATGAGGGTACAACCCACCATCCACCACTACATTTAACCCTTTCTGCAGTTTAACTCCGGACTCTTGCTTGATTTTGTGGCATTTGAAAAAGCCAGACTCTCCCACAGCCTCCCATGTCTTGCTCTCCTCAAGCAAAAAAACCCACATCACGTCAGAATTGACATTTTGTTTATCACAGTGTTTGTGAACTGTCTTAAAGCTGGGAGCCAAGTGATCTGAGAAAACCTGCCAAGTCAACCTGGACCTCAGACAGTCGGCATATAGACAAACTTAATTAACTCAGAAAATGACCATCCAGCATCTCCAGAAGGAGTCCTTGGGCAACAATCCGAACACCACAGTCTCCTGATGTGAATACTGAACAGAGGAGTTTCCCGGTAGAGCTTCTGTTAAATACCATGCATGTTCAAGTGTCATAGTGCTGCAGAAATTGGATCGCTTCATATTCAATTAAAGAATACATTTAGAAACTGACAGTTGGTGTATATAGTGTAAGTCTTTTGTTTCTTTTTTTACCTTATTCAAAATAAAACACAGTTTTGGATGAAAAATGGGGGTTTTTAGCTGCAGAAGAGAAAAATGTCCACCAGAAAACACACATCAAAGGAAAAAGAAACACTCAGCAATAAATTTAGAAAATTTATTTTAACATAAAAATGAAAACGCTCCACAGTTTTATGTACGAACACAGTTTTAAAAGTACAAAGGAAGGAGTCGGGGGGGGCGGGGTTCTCACAGGATTTGCCTCCAAGGCCAGGTGATTGTACCTCACAGTCTGAAGTCCTTACTGAGCACAGTAACCCAGTAAGCTCAACTCTATGAAACCAGCATTAGAATACAAAATAAAAATAAAATTACAATAAGAACATCCAAAGAGTATTATTTCCATCCACTCTCCCCTCACTCTGAATCAGAGTAGCTCGCAGGTCCCCCCTCCCCCCCTCCTCTCACAGTTGGGTATTAAGTGCATGTTCAATACATCCATTAAGGTGCGCACCACTGTGTTGAGCAGAGAATGTTGTTGTGGTGACACAGTGAAGCAGCACAGCCTGGTGGATAGAGGAAGGAATGCAGGGAGGTGATGCGGAAATGTAGCCAGTGATGTAAAATGTCACCGCTTGACATGACAAAAGTCAAAAAGGAGCTGGCGAAAAGCAGAAGGTGATGTTTGAATCCCGTAGAGGATGACAGTTCAACCGCATGATTGGTCCTTGAAGTCACAGTACAGTCACAAACATGGCTCCGTTGAACACTTCCTCTCAAAACAGCAAAGAAAATTCAAGTAAACAGGATTGCGGGAATTATGTTATGTCATGACGAGAGCATGGCCCCTGGGGGGAAAGAGAGAGTCCTGTATATTAAAAACAAAATGTTATTTTATTTGAGAAACAAAAGTAAAAGACTGAACATTCATGTGAAAGGACATGAAAGTGATGGCTTTCTCAAGCCCGTTACTGGCACCGAACACACAAAAGGTAGTTTGTAACACTGGGCAGCTGAATGTGGTGTAAACATTAAAAAATACAGTAAATTAAAAAAAAAAAAAAAGGCAATGATTAAATAATCTACACTATCTGTTGTCCAAAGTATCTTTTAAAAAGGATATAATAATAGGAGACGAGGTGAGCTTCAAAACATTTACAAGAGCTTAACGGCACTCTGTTGTACCCCTGACTATACACCGATGTGCAGCTGACATTAAGTTAAAACAGTTTTTTAAAAAAGCACAATAAAGCTAGTTAGATCTCACCATCTTCTACACAGCAGTCATTAAGCCAAAAGCCCCTGAAGAGAAGTTCAGTAACACACAGCCCTTGAGTGTTGAGATACAAACACGTTTTTTTTTTGACTCAGAAAAATAGAACACCCACATTCCTGTGTTGAAAAATAGACATTTTGGCCAGAAGGTCAAAGTTCAGCGGTGACGTCTCTTCAGTACAACGTGTGTGCAAGGTACAGTAGCTGCCTTGACTCTCTGTGTCTGTGCTTCTGTGTACTATATGCACTTACAGTATTTATACATATATATGTATTTACACACACACTCTGTCTTGCTTTATTGCGTGTACATGCAGTGCTGTCTTGTTCATATGTTCACGTGGTGTGTGTAGTTCCTGGGTGTGTGTCCAAACACAGTGTAATCATTTCTGGTTCACTCTTTAAGCAGCTCTGGATGAGAAATCTCAAGGGTAGCTGCTGTTCTTTACACACTGGCTGTTTCGGTACTTTAGGATTGTCAGAACTTTTGGGGGGGGAGGTGCAGGTGAGGTGGAAGAAGAGGACAGTATCGTGATGCAGGGAGGACTGGCCGAGGCTGAAGACCTTCTATACACTTATTTATTTAAAGCTTGTATCCAATTGTTCCCACCTTTTCGTACACTTCTACTTTAAGTAGGAAGAAATCAGCGTTTGTCTTCCATCAGTCCCCAATCAGAAGACGTCACTGTTGCACCCGTTGGCGAAGTCATCCCGCCGCACCCAGATGACGTCATGGTCCTTATTCGTGGCGCCCTCCACCGCACACTGCTTCAAGGGGGCAAGCTTCAGAGTCGGGGTGGCACAGCGGGAGAGAGAGACGCCACAGGATGCGAATGAGTCTACAGAGCCTGAATCATCGCCGTGCTTTATTCGATCAACTTCCTCCTCCTGCATCACGCTCTGCATGATCTCACTTCTGGTCTCGGCTCGTCCGTTCAGGTTCCTCGTCTCTTTTCCCTGCAGGTCCAGTCCCTCCATCGCCCCCTCCAGGGCGCTCGGTTCTGCCGATGCAGCTCGGACAGACTTGCAGTACTCATCGTCGTCGCTCAAAATGTCCGTCTCCTTCACCTGCCCCACGTCAATCCCCTCACACTGGTCTTCATAGTAGCCCAGGTTGAACTGCTCCTCCACCCAGCGGTCCGTGTCCTCTCCTTGAGATTTGTGGGACTGAAGGGGGGCGTGCTGGGAGAGCGGCGAGCTGGAGGACGGGTAAGAGGGCTGGTGGGAGAGGTTGGAGTCATTGCTGTTGTTGTTGTTGCCGTGGAAAACCAGGTCAGTGTCGATGGTGATGCGGTTCCTCACCAGCTTCCTGCGGGCCAGCGTTCGAGATGGAGCTGATGCTAGAACGGAGAAGATCATCATATTGTATTTTAGTGATATCACACATTTGTTGTAGGGACAGGTTTGTCCCAGCAGCACACTGAGATTCATGTACACCAGAAGATACACCCACCTGTTCTGTTCATGGCAGGCCGAGCCCCTTTGAGGGCACACAGGCGTTTCCCACCAAAGGGGACGTACTGCTGGTTGGGTGGCAGAGATTCTGTCTTAAGAAGCTGCCGGCGCTGCTTCTCCCTCAGGATGGAGTGGACTGCTTTCAGGAAGTCCTTCTTACTATCTGGAGAACTGTGAATCAGGCAAAAACAGATGATTATAAAAACAGTATATGAGAGAAAGATCTCTTGTTTGAAGCTATTTAATTTGCATGTTTTAAATACATGCATACAGCTTTTCCAACAAGAACAATACCTGCAGCACAACTGGAAGGTTCTCTCTGGTCTTCCTTCAGATTCAGACCTTGTGTGGATTATTTCACACACCGCTGTGGCCTCAGAGTCTGAGGGAGGGAGAGAAGAGAGATGTGATCTACATTTATAAAACTTATTCAGTTAATTTCCGTCATTAATTTCTCTTCCGTTAACAACGGGCCATTAGGAAGATAAACAGTCATACTAGAGCTGAATTG